AAACAAGGCCTTTCTTTTTTTCCTGAGTCCTGGCCACTCTTAGTGTTCATTATCATTGATTCTAATTATGATTTTAGGTCATTTCAGAGGAAATTAAAGCCACAAAATCTTGTTTTTATGTGTTTTTCAAGCACAAAATAAGGAGAAGAGGCCCGTCTTACATCACCGGGTTCAAAGAAAGACCAGGTCTTTCTTTTTTTTCCTGAGTCCTGGCCACTCTTAGTGTTCATTATCATTGGAAAATTGAATTAAAATTCAAATTAAATAGAAAATGAAAGCCACAAAATCTTGTTTTTATTTGTTTTTCAAGCACAAAATAAGGCCAACCGGAGGAGAAGTTGCCCGTCGGCAGACATCCTACTGTAAATTACAAAGAAATAATCAATAAAGTTGGTTTTTATTAGTTATTATTATATTCTAAATAAATCATATTTAGAAATTATCAATAAAGAAGGTTTTAATTATTCATTATTATATTCTAAATAAATCATATTTATCTTAATTTAACATAAGAAGTCGGTCCAGGAACCAGTTAAATTCCTATTTAGAGATCCTACTGTAAATTGCAAACAAATAATCAATAAAGACTGTTTTTATTATACATTATTATATTCTAAATAAATCATATTTATCTTAATTTAACATAAAAAGTCTGTCCTGGAACAAATAAATTCCTATGTGGAGGTTTATTACTAAAAGCCGGAGCTCCTTAAGTTGCCTTGAACTTCCTTAAATTGCCTTGAATTGCCTTGAATTACCTTAAATTGCCTTGAATTGCCTTGAATTACCTTAAATTGCCTTGAATTGATGGTTTCTCACGTCACACCGGAGATGCCTGGCATATTTCGGCAGTGGTGGGAAGTAACGAAGTACAAGTACCTCGTTACTGTACTTAAGTACAATTTCCGTGTATCTGTACTTTACTTAAGTAGATTTGATAATGGATACTTTCTACTTTTACTCCACAACATTTAACAGTAAGCATCTGTACTTTCTACTTCACTACATTTCTATACAGCGTTTCGTTACTCGTTACATCCAAGACGCATTTCGTTTTTTTTTATTTGTTCGTTAGTTTGAAAGTATCCAGAATCAGTCCGCTGAACCAATCCAAAGCGGGAAATAATAATAATAATATTAGGCCCTCCCTCAAGAAGAGCAGCATAAAATATCTAAATCTAAACTGTCACAGGGGGTAAACACAATAAAAACATGCTTTATCTGCAGCATTGCTCATTAAAATGGTACATTACTGATTTATTAAAACTAAATACGATAGGTACACTTAATGACATTATATAAGGCGTTAGGTATTACGGTTGGCAAGTACTTTTACTTTTAATACTTAAGTAGTTTTAAAAGCTTGTACTTTCTTACTTTTACTTAAGTAAAATAATAATGTGGTACTTTGACTTTTACTTGAGTACATTTTTACATTGTCTGTGTATTTGTACTTTTACTTAAGTACACTGTATGAGTACTTTCTCCACCACTGTATTTCGGCCTATTGTCAGCTCCTGTCAGACGATCGGGCGGGTTGTGTTCCCTCTCTGTTCCCTCTCTCCTCCGTGGGCTTCCTGCGGAGTCTTTATCTGGAAAGGAGGCCAGTATAAATGGCCCCGAGTCCTGAGGTGGGAGCAGTGACAGACGACTGAGGACCGGACCCGGTGAGAGGAGGCTTTCCAAAGCTAGTTCAGAAGGTTTTTAAACTCAAACTGTCCCGTTTTTATCTAGTTTAAAAAGTTTTTTTTATCATAACTGTCCCCTTTTCATCTGGTCTTGATCCATATTGGAGCTTCTCTTGCTCTGTCTTTTCATATCTTGTGTTGTTTTATTTAGTCTTAATCTATCTGATATAATGTTGTCATGTTTTATCTTGATTTTTCTTGTCTTGTTTTGTTTAATTTGTACTTTTCTCATCATTTCTTTGTCTTCTTTTCTTCTTTCCTAATGATAAACTGTCTTCTTTTGTTGTTTGTCAAACTTATCTCATCTTAAATGATCTTTTTTTATCTCATTTTTACTTTTGCTTATCATTTCTAAGTCTTATTTTCTACTTTCTTAATGATAAACTGTCTTCTCTAGTTATTTGTCAAACTTATCTCATCCTTAAATGATCTTGTTTTGTCTCATTTTTACTTTTCTTATCATTTCTTAGTATTTTTTCTTCTTTCTTAATGATAAACTTTTTTTTCTTGTCATTTGTCAAACTTATCTCATCCTTAAATGATCTTGTTTTGTCTCAATCTTGTCTTATCATTTCTTAATTTTAGTTTAGTCTGATGTTATCTTACAGTATCTTGATTTATATTGTTCTGTCCAAAGTATATCTTCCATTGTCATATCTTTATTTCAGTTTTAGTTTAGTCATATTTCAAATCAAAAGAACAATTGCACCTTAATTGAACTGGATCAACTTCTGTTTTACCCCCCATCTTTTAATTAAGTACTAATTTCCAAATAGAACATCGAGCCTTTCGCTCTTTTTAACTTAGCGGTACTATATTTGGAATCACCCCCCAAGCGTTTCTCACAGTAATTTCATCACTGGTGTAATTTGAGCTTAACAGGTATAAAATGATCTGGTGATAAATAATCATTTTGACGGCATTTAGGAATTTAAGCTCTAAAATAAGAAGTTTAAACGTCTTTAAAAGGTGTTTCGATGTCCTTTATTAGCTGCACGATTCTCAGTAGTTTAAGGCAAGGAGAGTTAACTTATACAGCACAATTTGTGTACAAGACAAATCTAAGTGTTTTATTTGGATTTTAAAAGCAGAAAATTAAGAATAAGTTTAAATAAGTTAAAAAAACATAATTGATTAAATAGATCAAAAGGAAAGAGTGCAGATAAAATACATCCATTTGTCATGTGCACAGTTCAATAAAACTACAGCAGCAGAGGGAGGAGAGGTGCATCATGGG